TCCGGAGCCGCTGGCAAACCCGTTCGACACACAGAGAGCTCAAACTACGGTAAAGAAGAAGCCTGTTACGTCAAAATTCTTCAATAGTTTATGCAGAACAATCTTAGGACTGTGTGTTGGACGGCTGCTTCCGGTTCCTGAAAATAGCTGGGAAATTAATATTAAAACAACCACATTTATAACAATAACAATCATAACACGTGGCGTTGCATTTTCACAAGCAGGGTGAGTTCAAATTACTTATTTTTCTTATATTTAACCCTGCATGCTATTTGTTTGTCTGTTATTACATGTCGGCGAGGCTAATCATTTCAATTGTTTCTTGTTACGTCTCAATTTAAACGTGAATGGTTTTAGGCCATTAATCAGTGGCGACTGGTTGAGACAAGAACAAAGTGGAGTGAGTGTTTGTGTTAAGGACAGTGTGAGGCTGTTTTTACTTTTTACAAGTTCTTTGTGTGATGATGGCAATCATTTAAAGTGTTTCTTGTTACGTCCTAATTTAAACGTGAATGGTTATTGGCCATTAATCAGTGGAGACTGGTTGAGACAAGAACACAGTTGATTGAGTGTTTTAATTACAGCAAGGGGCTTTCTTATTAAAAAAGTCCTTTTTGAGGAAAAGGCCTGAAAAGTTTGAAGCTTTCAGTGGTTGTTTTTCTGTTTTCTAACAGACATTGCGCGTGGATTACGACAAGGAGTGCGACATTCGTGCGTTAGACAGACGATATTCTGCTGATTGTGTTTGCTTGGCGCCTTACTTTGTCCCATGATGGCGTGTTTAAACAGAGGAGATAACCATACTGGCTCTTAAAGTCAAAAAATTACGTACACAGGTTGAAGGCTGTGACGTAAGGGTATAAGGCCCATTTATAATTGTAAATTACATAGAAATGTTATTTTAAACTGCAGTGTTGTTTTGTGTTGAGAATTAAAAGATCACCCTCATTATTTCAACTCCGCTCTGAGAGCCACGAGGTGTTTTCAAATCCCTTTGTTCTTCAGGTCAAAGGTTGGGAAATCAGTTGCCATCTTGTCTTGTCCTCATGTTTACAATGAGCAATGGCAGTCGCCATTTCGTGAAATGCTAATTTGAAAGTACTCAGTCCTACTCACATGAGCCTAGGCACTCCATCTTGAGAAGGACAAATCATATTTCTTGGCAGAGTTGGAACTATAAAATAGACAGGTTATCTTACCGTGGGAAGTTTGATATTTGTAGGAGTCTGTATTTGAGATATTCTTGTTTGCAAGTGCGTATTGGCGGTTTATTTGAGATATTCTTGTTTGCAAATGTGTTTTGGCGGTTATGTGCTGTGTTGTTTAACCATATTCTAATTTTCTTCTCATTTTTAAGGAAATAAGCTTCTTCTTGTTAAAAAGAGGTCAGTTTTGCAACAGCTATCCCTAGTGGATTGAGCTGGAAATTACAACAGCGCACTCTGCTGGTAATACAGAATTATTACAAAGATACTATAACATTTTGAAGCTTGATTTTGAGTATTATGGATGAACACATGCGCAAATCGCCAGGACAGAATTACAAAGTGGTTTCTAATTAAAAGATGAGAAACTTTCAAACTAGGCTGTAGAATATTCAAACACCAATTGATTAAAGCTAACACAAATTACATTTACATAATTTCATGCACTTTGGTATGCACTGTACACAGTAGATTTAGATTTTCACCAGATTTCTAATTTTCATATTTTAAAGTCAAAACCATACACTGTACAATTTTTTTATTTTATCATTTCAGATTTTAAAATTTGCCTAATTTGTATCTTTTAATTAACTTTATTATTTAAAAAAAAAACATAACAAATAAAAAAATCTATAAAATGAAAAAAACAAAACTTAAAAAGCCCAGATTTAAAGTTAGGTTCGGATGACATAGGACGACGGTGCTAGTCAGAAGATTGGTGCTTAATCTTTGATAACTTAATTATATTCATTCGAATAGGAAGAGAGCATGTCACCAAAACAAACTAAACTGGGACTAGACGCAGAGCCAGGCTCAACTGCAGATATCAAGGAAAGGGTAATAATCTGATCAGATGCTTTAACCTTTCCAATTAAAAGAACTATATGGAGTGAAGATGAAGAAAGATTTATAAGAGTTACAAGTCTGATACTCCATCTGGAATATGCCAGCCTATTGGCACACAGCATAAATGTGGTCCGAGTAGCAGACCTGCCAGTGAGGGAAGACATAGCAGAAAAAACAAGACACCGTAGCTTGTAGGAACAAGACAAGGAGAAGGGAGGGGAAACTTCCAGAGAAGGCAGGGCAGACGCCTCCAACAATTCAAGCTCAGGAAGAACCAGAGAATGCAGGGCAGACACCTCAAACTGTTAAATCTCAGATAGTGCCAGAAAATCAGAAGCAGAACCAACAACCAGGAGGTTTCCATGATGACAACGGAGGCAGGGGGTCCCAGAGATGTCAAAGACGAACAGCATTGCCAAACATGACCCAAATGCCACTGACACCCTGGTATCAACCACAACAATGAGGCATCCAGAACCATCTCCACCTGAGGCATCCAGAACCAAACCAGCATGCTGACAAAGAGGCAAACTCTCATCGGTCCCTCAAACAGGACATGAAGTTCCAAACTGAGCCGTGAGATTTGGCACAAGAACAGAGTGTGGGACATGAGAGCAGAATACACCACTCCATGCAACAGCCAAGAGACTGAAAAGGAGGAGATGAAATGCAAAGCAGTTGGGCCACTGAAAATAATTACAGCGGGAAGATCCAAGTGCGGATGGACTGAGGAGAAGACAGGATGGAGGAGAAGACAGAACGGAGGAGAAGACAGAACCAGAGGAGTTGGCATGGGCCAGCAGAACGTGAGGGGGTCGTGGCTTGACGACCAGAGGGGGAGAGAAGGAACACAGGAGTGAGTGAGTTTACACATAAACACACTTATTAGAAAATAATCCTAAAAACACACTGAGGGTAGAACATATTATTCAATCTTTTCATAATATAAACAAATTATTCTTATAGAGATTCTTATTCATGTGAGAATTTGGGGAAGATTTAATTTGTTACAATATAGATAGCAGGCAAATCTTTATTTGAATGGAAAATGTTAAAGGTAGAGCTGGAACCAAGCCAAAGAAAGTATTCCAATCTAGAGTATTGGTTTCACCATTGTAGCATGGATATTACCATAGGAGAACTGTTAAGGTGGAAACAACATTTGTTTGTCGTCCAAGATGTAGAGTTTTAAAAAGACACAAGGCAAAGAGCGATTGAAGATTTTAATTTTGAAAAACTAGTATAATTGGGAGTAATACATGCGGGGCCTTGGATCACTCATTTTAATGGTGCATATTTTCGACAACAAATATGGTTCAGGGAGAAGGGGTTGCTCAACCCACCCTGCAGATGTTTTAAATCTTACTTACAGCTTCAGAGGGAGCGCACGGCACCAGAGTATGAGTTTTAAAAGACAAGTGCCACCACCTCCTAATGCTCATCCATTTAATCAGTGATGACCTGACATTTAGAGATGTTATTTAAAAGGAGAAACATATCTGCCATGAGTGAAAATTCCTGAATTGAACTACAAACCATTAATGAAATGACTTCTGTTTTTGAAGTCCTTGTTAGAGCACCCAAGGTTCCACACACTGTTAAAGGGGGTTAGCATAGTTATTTAAGTAGACCAGAAATGAAAATAAATTAGTATAATGAGTTATTGATATTCCACCGGTTTTCATACCATTTCAGGGACTTTATCACTGTATTAGAACAGACCACCCCAAAGCCAGTAGGGCTAAGAGACCAGTCCCAGGGGGAGTTTAGGCTCCAGGGTAAAAGGATAGCATAGGGGCGACCAGGGGAGGCCTAAATGTAGCACTCATTCCATGTCCTAAAATACCGATTGATCACGACGGCCTCTTCTAGAGAACATATTACTTTCTTACCTTAAATGGTATGAAAGGAGGGAGGGTACATTTCTCATGAGGAGACAGTTACAAATGCTAGTAGAACAAGACGGCCCACCCCAATACATATGTTGATGAAAATGATGAGTTAGTTTGAATGATGTTAAACGATATGGATGTTCAGAGATGAGGTTGTTCAATGAATGTCCAGCCGATGTGATTCTTTAAATGATGAAATTATGTGAAGAAGTGAGCAAAATAAAATGCTAAAATGGAGTGAATCCATTTCAATTTACTTATACTATTACAAGATAGTGTATTTTTATTTGAATTTACTCTATACTATTCCAAGATAGTTTATTTCATTTTTATTATTTTTCACTGTTCTATATGGTAGATTTCATGTATTTTCGAATCATTACTATTCTAAAATGGGTAGTTTATTTTCACTTTGTAAAAACAAGTGCCTTAACACTGAGTGTATTATGAGAACGGTTTCTGTGAAAGGAGGGAGGAAGACATTTTCTGATACCAAGCCATTGCTGCTATTTTGAAGAACCATATTGAATGTTAACACTAGAAGTTATGCACAAGGGAAAACTTTTATGTTTGAACACAGTCAAAGTATTTTTGTATTTTTGTAAAATTGAGGATATTCGCACTATTCCATTTTGATTGTATGTTTTTGATATGAATTATGTACTATGCAGAGTTCAGATGAAGAACTCATTGATTTCAGTATTATACACACCTTTTAGGTGTGTAAGGAGGGACTGTTAGAAATTAAAATCAATGTTTTGATGGCATAATGTACCTTAAATGTACCTTCAGTTTAAATGCTGTTTTATACTGAAAAACCAGAAATGTATTGTGCACAACCAGTTAAGCTTTTATTCTGAAAATCCTTCATCTCCGGTTAGCATGTGGCTAGTTTACCATTTCTTATAGAGGTTAATTTAGTAGCGAAATGACATGGAGTGATGCACACCGAAAGCTACTGATTTTAACACTGCAATTTTAGACGTATTATTATTGCCGAATATTAAATGAAGGTATAGTTTATTTGAATAAAGTTATTGTTTACAGACGTGGGTAAGATGTGACAACATCCGGAATGACCAGAAACCAAACCAGCCGTGAAGTATTTTCTGTATTTTTTAGAATATTAACTACAACGTTTAGAATGTGTTAAAGGAAAAGTGATGAAAGACAATATGAGGAGAAGAGGCGTGTTTAAGTATATATTGAATGTACAATGCCTGAATCCTCTGTTTAAACGTAACAACGGACATTAAGATGTGGAGGGCCGGCCCGCAGGGAGGAGCCTGCAGAAGCTATATAAGAGCAGCACCTGAGCGGTTCGGCCTCTTTTCTCTGCTAGCGGGGAGCCAGAGGCAGCTGCTTTTCTGTCAGAAAATATCCTGTTTGTGACTTTACCGCGCCTTTTTATTAATTAAAGTACCAATTTGAAAACATCTCAGAGACTCCATTTAGTCTCCTTTTTAAGCTTCTCTTTCCTGGACGCGAGAATAACCATCACAGTTAACAGTTGCTACCATTTCTTTACACAATTATTTAATGTTTCTTTTGGACACCTTTTTTATTACTCTTAGTGTGGTTGTCTTATTCTTAAAGTTTGCAAAAATACATACATACATACCAAAAATATGATAATTTCGGTGTGTATTTTTGTCCTTACCCTTAATGTTAAAGGAAAGAAGGGAGGAAAATGTTGACAATAATTTATATATCTGGCTACCTTTCTCATGTTTTTAAGGTTTCCCAAAACCGAAGAGAGGAGGAGGCAATGGGAACTCGCCCTAAGAAGGGACGGTTTTGTTTCCTGTGACAGGACACTGCTCTGCAGTGAGCACTTCAGGAGTGAGGAATTTGACCGGACAGGGCAGACTGTCCGGCTTAAAGATGGTGTTGTGCCAACAATATTCATCTTCCCAGCTCATCTTCAAAGGGTATGTGTATCATTGGCCAACAACAATTCAAGGTGTATAAGATTGATATATAAATATGTGATTAAATGTCACACTTTAGTTTTTCTTTCTGCAAGTTTAGGAATAAATAATGTGTTGTGTATTACAGCACATTTTAAACACTCAACATGTCTTTAATGTTTATTGTCAGGGCAGCAGAGTGGGTAATTCGCCAGGCATCAGCAGATTCTAGACGATCACAGCCCATCAAACTGCTAGAGGTCCTCTACATTGTGCGGAAGAGGATAGGTCCAGAGGATGTGTTTTTGTTCGGGGAGCACATTGTCGACACACAGTATGGCATTGACAGTCACCACCATACGCTGTTGACATTAGTTGTGTCCCTGTTTTTTAAGCTAAGGCTGCATCACATTGCAAAAACAACTACTCTGAGCTTACAGAGTGGCAGCATGAGACAGAAGCTCACAAAAACAGTCCTTTTCAAAGGGCATTAGCTCCAACTGTGTGTGCACATGTGTTACGTGCCGTAGTGGGTGCTTGTGTGTCTCCCTCTCTTTCCCCCTGATGTTTCTTCTTCTTTGTTTAATGGCGAATCGCTACCACTAGGAGCATATATCGCCACCTACTATGTATTTATTAAATCTTCATGTTCCATGAGACGCAGCACTATGTTCCCCACATATGTTTATGTTTGCTCAGTCTAATAAACCCATAACATGGTTGTGAAAGAATACCAAAGCTGAGGCTGGACGATGATTGATTGTTGGTGTGCCATGTGCCACCGTGTGTCTTATTGGTTTTGTGTTATACTGTATTTTATTGTGTGCAGCTGGTCCTTATCTCCAAGACACATTTAAAACAAATAACCTTGAAGCCCCATCTCTCCCCACCTGCTCCTGCTTCCTACATCCCCTCCACACCACATCATTATTTTAAATATTAACAATATAATAAAATAAATGGAAATATATACACCGGCAAATATTTAATATAAATACCTTGTGTGTGTGTATAGCTATTGCTTTATCTGATTAATGTTATTTTCATATGAAAGTCCATGATTATAAGTATGCAGTATCATAACTACATCTTTGATGTTTATAAAAAACCAAACCGTTTGAAAATTGAGCAACCTATGGTTATTTAAATAGTAAACCATAATGTTATGAATGAGAGAACTGCCTGTGGCAAGATGGCGGCCAAGTGGCAACGTCGGTCTCCATTGGCCAGCAGCGCGGGTGAGTCATCTAGTGTTTATATATATCTATGCTTTTAACGGTTACAACTGATCTGTACCACAGAGTCACATTAAATCATTCAGTGCCAAATTTGGGTACTGAAGAGCCAATCTGGGTAAACTAATGTTTACTAATGTCCTGCAGGTCACCCTTGAAAAAGAGATCTTTTGATCTCAAGGGGCTTTCACCTGGTTAAATAAAGGCTACAAACAAAAGAGTTTGAGTCACAGCTGTGGCGCTGCCTTGTGAGTGCAGTATACTGTAGATCATGGGTCGGCAACAGGCGGCCCGCGGGCCATTATTGGCCCGCCAGCAATCATATTTGGCCCGTAATTTTGAGAATCAAAAATAAAATATTATTATTATTATTTTTTTTTTTACAACATAGGACCAGAGAGTCGCACATCAGGGTTTCCGTTAGCCGGTAATTACCGGTTTTTATCTGGTAAAATTCATTAAAAACCGCTAAATTCAAAACCTGCTGTTCAAAATTAGGGATGCTCCGATCGATCGGCCGCCGGTCATTATCAGCCGATATTCACTCTTAATAGTTTGATCGGTGCTCTCTATAAAGGCCGATCAGGAGAGCTGGATCTGATCGATATGGACAGAAACACGAGTGAAGTATAACCGGACCCGAGAGAGAGATCAGATCAGCTGCTGCATAATCACCTGAAGCCCCGCCCACTGTTTAGCGAGCTGCATGAGAAACTGACGGGCTGTCAGGAGAGAGAGGGAGGGAGAGAGGAAAAGAGAGGATCCGTTTCTCCCGTGTTATTATCCAAAGTTAATGTAAACTTTTGAATAATGTACTTCATCTACTACAAGTAGTTTGTTTGAATGTAATAATTATGTTGTTTGTTGTTTGTGGAATCATTTATTGAAAAATGAATCTGATTCGGCGGTTAATCTGTTAACGATTATAAACTGAAGCAATATAACAATTACTCCCATTAACTGAGTTTTAAACATCAGCATATCCTGTCATAGTCCGGTGATTACCTGCTAACGGAAACTTTGCTACACAATTCTTATTATTATTGAAACATGGTAAGTTTCAAATTTGTCCGGTAAAATACATTCTGTCCCGACATATCCGCTTACATTCATAATGTCAGCGGAGGGAGGGGAAGCGGTGCTGTGGAAGAGCAGAGTGGCGAGGGAGAGCTGTTTACAAGCTTCAAACATGTATTTATCGGGTGATTTTGGAAATAAAAGTTCCATATTCTGAAAGCCAATACTTTGTTTATTTAAAATCAAACAAAACACCCGAATCCCGAAAAACTAGTTTTTTACGCAAATCCACGTTTATTTTGAAATGAGCCGTTCGACTTCCGACTGATTTCGATAGAGCGGGTCACATATGGCAAATGTGTGGTTGTGGGGAACCAGGTCAATTAAAGTACTTATTTAACTATTAAATACATTGAGTTTGAGTAAAATACTTGGTTACTGATTAATTTAGGTTATAATATATTAAATTGCAAAGCAAAACATGCTGTAATTGATTTATTTTGTCCTTTGATATTTTTTAAAGGTTTTCAACCTGAAAGAATCCTAATGTGTCCTTGAAAAGTTTAAATAAAAGGAAAAAGGATTCTCTGTTGCCCCTCAAGCCTCTCAAATGTGGGCAAACACTCAAATAAATGCCAAAAACCCAGAGAACTTGACAATACTTATCAGAATATGTTAAATAACACTGTTACCTAGTTAAGAACTCTACTTTACTCAGTGGAGGCTCGTCCATTGAGAAAAGGGAGGACCATCCTCCCTAAAATTTCTGAGAAAAATAAACTTTGAAGAGAACAATAACTACACCTCAATTTAAAAGATAAGTCTGTTAAAATACAGATAATAGCCCTGGCTTTGGGACTGAAATGGGGCTAGAGAGGACCAGCCTTTGGGCGGGTCTAGCCAGAGGCTCTGGATTGGGCGCCTATTGAACCAATCAGCGGATCTGACTGCGCATCAGAGTGTTGATGGGGACGGTTATCAGCGATATCAGCGTTCTTTCTGAACCGGGGAACCGGGGCTCTTACCCTCTTACCAAAATCAATTCCTTGAATTAGGCTTTGATTATGTTCTGGCCCGCCATCTTGTGGCTCAGCAAAAAATTGGCCCAAGGCCAAACTTACTTGCCTACCCCTGCTGTAGATGGAGAGAGTCAGCCCCCCACCCTCCTGAAAGTTAGATGTTTGAAATGTTTTTTACTGACCTATGTTAATAAGAACATGTTTTGAATTAATAATAATGTTAACATTACGAAAGTAGGATTCAGTTTTACAAATTACATTACACGATTTAGATTTTGCCTAAATGAACTATTTTCCATTCTTAACATGCAACAGCTATATACTGCAGTCACACTGTAAATGTAATAATATTACAAATAAATACATTTTACTGTACCTACTAAATACTTGGAAAGGATAGTTGCAAATGTATTATCTTTTCAATTTACACACGGCATCTATTGCACGTCTGTCCGTCCTGGGAGAGGGATCCCTCCTCTGTTGCTCTCCTTGAGGTTTCTCCCATTTTTCCCTTTAAACGGTGGGTTTTCTCTGGAAGTGTTTCCTTGTACGATGTGAGGGTCTAAGGACAGAGGGTGTCGTATTGTCATACTGATATTCTGTACAAACTGTGAAGAACACTGAGACAAATGTTACATTTGTGATATTGGGCTATATAAATAAACATTGATTGATTAATTGAGTTGTATGTTACAAGGCTCAGGACCCAAACTCCAGCACCAGAGACAAGTTAAACAATAAAAAAAGCTTTAAGTCAACCCATCTTAGCTGTCACGAACTTGGAAAAACAAGGACTCAAATGCACGACCTGGGAGACAGAGATAAAGTATGAGTAAAATGCTTTATTTCAAATAGGTTTACAAAAAATGATCGACACTCTTAACGAGGTTCAAAAAAGGGCGAAAAAAAGGCACAAAGAAAATCGCTCACTAAGTGAGGAACAAAACTTACAAAGCAATACAGGAGCATGAATCAGGCTTAAGATAAGTGATGGCTGGTACGCAGACTACTGGCATGGAGACAGGACAAGACGAACTGACACAAGACAAGGGAAGGCTGGGGAATTTAAACAAAAGGTAACTGGCACAGGTGGAAACAATCAGGGAGGGGCTGACGCAGATGAGAGCGGGAGACACACAAGGATAGGGAGTGAAGGGACCTGGAATGAAACACAAAAGGTGAGTACCAAAATAAAACAGGAAGTGGGAGACGAGACACAAAATGATTAACCTATTAAACCCGAGAGGACCCTAATCCGGGTCTGGCAGGTAGTTTTTTCACGAAACTGTCTCTCAGGGCTTCTTAATTTTTAAAAACCTATTAATGTGCCATACTCACTTAACGGTTAGAAACTCAGCTAACTGAAGATATGAACCATTTTTACCTAAACAAAGCACAAGTCTCACAAGAAGCGTCTAAATGTGCCCTGAGCAAAATAATGTATTATGGTACCTTGCTGTACATAAATTACAGTAATTACCTGTATTTTGACACTATTACTGTAGAAGTAATGCAACACAGTAGCCAGTAATTTACTGTAAATATAAAAATGTAAATAATACGATAATATATTGTAAATTTGACTAGTTAACTGGGATTTTACCATAACTACACAATTCAATCAGCTCAATCAACAAAGAAAAACAAAGAAAATGCCCATTTTAACTTTTTATTACTCCATTGAAGTGCAAAGTACATTTCACAGTGTCTTGGACATGTTGTTACGGCCCCAACCTCTACTCCGCGGTAGTGGCTCGTGCTGAGACCCGCAACATGAAAGAATACATGCAATAACCGGTACTTGGTAATGAGCATTTATTGATAATCAGCCGTTTGCTCACACAAGCGAAACGGGAAACAAAAAGAGGTCTGGAGGACTGGCCAAAAGGAACAAACAGAAGGAGGGAACCCGAGCCAGCCACACCACAGGCCGTAGGACCCATGGAGCTTCCCCCCCCCCAACCAGAAATCAAATATAAACCCTATGGGAAACAAAATAAAGCCGCGAAAACTGAACTACCAGGTCCTTCAGGCTAAACATAAACACATCTGCAAAAATATGGCCTACAGCTCAAAATGGCAAAGAGGTATTCTAAGGACAGTGTCTCCCGGCGTTAGGATAGGCGAGACATCCTTCTCCTCCAGCTTCTCTTTATATATACACGGCTGAGAGGAATTTGGAACACCTGGGCAGAGGCGGAGCCAGGGGCAGACCAGGTGCACCTGGGCAGAGGCGGAGCCAGGGGCAGACCAGGTGCACCTGCAGGGCAGAGGCGGAGCCAGAAAAGAAACCAAGGAGGGGAGCAC